TTCCCCCAGGCAGAGAGGCTGGGCACCCCCACAGGGCAGGGCATCAGATCACAGGGCCAGGGCGGAGGCAGTGCAGAGACAGGAGGGCTCTGCCTCTCCAGGGCCTCGGCCTCGGGCTCCTCCGTGTGCAGCATGAGCTCCTGCTCCTCCCGTGCTCCCTGGGCCGGACCTCGGGGTGGTTTCTATGTGGGGGCTCCCCGGGTAGATCTGAGGGGCCCGGGACTGTCCGGTGACCCCAGGCTCCGGGTCCCCCCGGGGCTGCGCCTCCGCACACGTCCCTCTGCAGCTCGTTCCCGCCTGTGCTCCTGCCCCTGGGACCCTCCCCGGGGTGTCACCAGGAGCCGCCATCAGTGTCCCCCAGAAGGGAGGTGGGGGTTCAGACCAGGGACAGGAGATCATGGAGATATGTTAAGGTGTGAGTGAGTGTGTGTGCGTGTGAAGGACCCTCAGGCGTGGGTGTGACTGGACAAGGGAACAGACACCCCTGAGCCCAGGTCCCTTCTCCAGACCCCGAGGCTGACCCTGAGCCTTATCTCGTCCCTCTCAGGGTCACCAGGACGGACCCTAGTCTGACAGCCCCCTGCACCCCTGGAGCCCAGCGGTGTCCCCTTCAGAGAAGGAGCAGGAGCTGCATTATGCCTCCCTTATGCTCCCCAAGGCGAGCCCCAGGGCCCCTCAGGTCCAGGAGGCCTCTGAGTTCGCCCAGGTCAAAGGAGCCGCCCCCCCCCCCCCCGTCCCCCTCCCGACGCTGGAGAGCTAAAAAGGCCTCTCTGAGGACAGCGGGTCCTGCGCTCCCTGCAGAGCTGCCGCCTCAGCGAGGTCAGAAAGGCGAGCTCGGGGCTCCTGGGACAGATGGAGCCGGAGCTCCCGGGTCACGCCCAGCCCAGCCGCTTAGACACGCGTCCCCGTCACTCTCCGGCCTCAGCTCCCTCCGCTGTAAAGTGGGTGCATGTGCACAAGGCGGGAAATGCACCCCGTGTTGCCCACTGGTCAGCTCCCCCCTCCCCCGCGGCCCTTCTGTTGGCTGTTAGGGAGCGTGTGGAGGTCCCAGTGTGACTCTGTTCCTCAGGGTCACTCTCTGGGGAGACCAGTTTCCTCATCCAGCTAAACATGCACATGAACCCCGGGCTGGGCTCTGAGGCCTCCCCAGTGTCTCAAGGACAGAGAAGGGGTGACAGCCTCAGGGTTGAGGCCGTGGCTAGTGAGAGGCGTCCCCGGACAGGCCTGTCCAGCGTGAGCCTGAGCAATGACAGGGACCCGCTAAGCAAATAATTATTACCGGGTCTCAGGCCTGGAGCAGTGACAGGCCAATATAAATTTTTTTGAAATAAATTTTATTTTTATGTTCCCCATACAATTGCAACACCCTTATTTTGACCCCAGTTCCTCCCTCTCCGCCCTCCCACCCTCCATAGAGTGTCTCTGGTTCATAGCTTTTTGTTGATTTTGATTTTCACTTTCTTATACTTTTAATGACCAACTTTGCTCCCTGAACACATCTGTCCTTAGAAGCTTTATGACTAACAGTGACATTTCCACAGGGTGGGGCAGCGGCCACGCTGGTCTGTCCTCAGGGCCCTTCTGATGCCGCTTCTCTCCCCTGCGCTGTGCCCTGTCCGGGGCCTTGGAGCAAATGGTTGTGCCTGATGAAAAGGAAGCTGTCCATGTACCTCCATGACGACACTCACGTATAAAAGGAACCCTTTGCCTTGAACCTGAGCTCTGACCCCACGGGGCTACCCCGGTGTGGCCCCCACGCAGGGTAATAAAGTCTCCCGACCTCAGCGTCCTGAAGTGCCGCTTGCGCTGCCTCTGCCTCCGCCGGAATTTCCACAGCACAGGAGGCCCGAAGGAACCTCTAGGAGCCCCAAGAGCCGGGCCAGAGGGGACCCGGGAGGGGACAGGAAGCTGCTCCTGGAGGTTCAGCCTTTCAGTTTGGCCAAATGAAAACCTTTCGGAATCTGGGGGCGACTGTGGGCCTCTGGTTACCCCAGAACCACACAAATGATGATGTAGGAAAGATGATTGGTTTTTCCCCTTTATTTTTTTTTATTTTAATTTATTTATTCAAGAACTGGGTACAGGGCAGAGGCGCAGAGGGTGAGAGGATTCACCAGAGGCAGAGCGGGGAGAACAGGCAGATGACCGAAAACACTGCTGAGGGGGCAAGGCGGGTGACTCAGGAGAGGTCTGCTGCGCCACGTGGGTAGCTCCCTGGCCGGGGATCAAACGCGCACTGCAGAGGCTGCGGGCAGCTTCACAGCCCTGCGCTCAACCTGCTGTGCTGCTGGGGAAGCCCACATTTTCCCCTAATTAAGCAAAGCAAGAGCTGGGGGTGACCAGGCCTGGGCCGGGCGCCGGGCGGGAGTCACAGTTCCCGGGCAGAGACCCAGGGCAGGACGGCAGAAGGGTCTCGAGATGGCGGAGGTGTGACGGCGGGACCAGACGTGCTGGGCCTGCGGGGACACGTCACCACGCTCAGTGCCGGCTGCTTGTGTCTCAGCACCCCAAAATGTTTGCTGCGAGAGAGCAAGTGTGGGTGCGGATGGGGACCGGCTCGCGGAGCTGCCAAACCGCGTGGAAACGTGGGGGCTGCGGGGACGCGGAGACAGTTACCCCAGGCCGAGCGGTCACGCTCCCCGGCCCTCGAGCACGACAACAAGAGGGAAGGGACGAGGTGTTGGGGTGAACGTCTTCCGGCCCCAGGAGCACCCCAAGGCTCAGGCTCACACTCCCCACGCGACGTGACTTGTGTGTCTGTCACAGACCATCAGATCCATTTCCTGCAGACTCTCAGCCCCGGGCCCCGCCGCACACTCTGTCTGGCCTGTGTCCTCACACCCCGGCCATGGACACGGCCCCGACCTGGCCTGGACCCCAGTCTCAGCCCTCAGCCCCGTGTCTCTGACTGCTCCTCCACAACCACTGAGGGGGCCCTTCTTGAATGGGGGAGTCAGCTCCTCCTCCCGCCTCCCAGGGCTGGGAGCTCCCCTGGCCAATGTTGAACACCCCAAGGCCGACGACCAGGATGCTCAGAGCCCAAGGCCAGCGTGAGTTGCTTCAGCCCTTTCCCGGGATGCTGGGAAGATTCTGGAACATGATAAAAGGAATATTACTGCATCTAAATTTAAAGAAACTGGGCCTCCCCGGTGGCGCAGCGGTTGAGCGCTGGGTTGCGAAGCTGCCCTCAGCCTCTGCTGCGCCAGTTCGATCCCCGGCCACCGGGCGAGGGTCCTGCATAGCGCACAGACCTCTCCTGCTGCCCGCTGCTCCCCTCAGCAGTGTACTTTGTCATTCTGCCTTGTACTGTTCCCCGCTCTGGCTCTGGTGAATTTTCTCCCCCTCCCGCACTTCTGACTGTACCCAGAGCTTGTATAAATAAATAAATGAATCTTTAAAAAAAATAATAAATAAATTTAAAGAAACTATAAATGGTATTTTAAAATTTAAATGACATTATAAAATTAGTTACAATGTAATTATATATGCAACATAATTTGTATATTTAATTTAAATATTATATTAATATTTTTAGTCACGTTACATTTCGAGCTAGTAAGCAATGTTTGTAGTTTTAATATAAATATTAAAATAATGAGCTCATCTACTGTAAATGGCCATAGAGTGATTCTGATGTTTTGTGCAACCTCAGCCCCACGGCCATGGTTCCTGTTGAACAACACAAGGTCTGGGGCCTCCCCGGGGGCGCAGGGGTGAAGACGCAACCCATGAGGCTGTCCGAGCCGCTGCAGCTCGACTTCCATCCCCAGCCAGGGAGCTGCCCACAAGGCGCAACAGACCTCTCCTGACTCCCCGCTGCTCCCCTCGGCAGGGGATTTCAGCAGATCTGCCTGTTCTGCTCCCCGCTCTGTCTCCGGGCAACACGTGTCACTCCCCACATGGCACCTGGTTAGGAGATGCGTCTTCTCACCTGGCCTCGCCCCTCCACCCGTCCCGTGGGAGAAGCCACAGAGAACTCTAAGCCCCAGACCCCACGGCTGTGCTGCTCTGTGAGAGATGCGGGTCCCCAGAGGAAACAGAGGCTCCCTCAGCATGAGCACGAGCTGTTACAGCGTCTGACTGTGCCAGAGACGCTGCAGGGCCCAGACACACCAAGCCACAGCCCCGGGGCTCTGGGAAGGCGGGATTGACCCCGACCCCAAGGGGGCACCCCGAGTCTGCGGGAAGCACCACCCCACCCTCATGTGGGACTGTCCACAGGCCAGGGGAGAACTGGGATCCTCCCTGGGACGGCCGAGGACACTGAGGCCTGGCGGGGACAAGGGCTCGTCCCTCCTGACTCCAGAGCCCCGTCCCCATCATCATGCTGTCATGATGATGATGATGATGATGATGATGATGATGATGACGACGACGATGACTGAGTCTCAGTCCTGCTCAGCCCGTCACACCGGGGTCCTGGGGCAGAGCACCCAGTTCAGGAGGCCCCAGGACCACTTGTCCCCTCAGGGTCCAGGCCCCATCCTCCTCAGCCCGTCCGTCCCAGGCCCCACCTTGTGGGTTCCTACAGGGCCTGCCTGGACAACCTCTTCCCACCTGAGGCCACAGCAGCTGCAAAGGCCTCTGAGCCCTTCCGGCGGGCGTCAGTCAGGCACCTTCTCAAGCACAGAGGCGAGCCGCCCCCTCTCCTGAAAGTGACACAGTGCAAAGGACCCGTGTCTTAGACAGGTGTGAGCAACTTGTCTTTTCCCCATTGCTTGCAATTTCCCCTTGTCTGGCAGGGCTGTCTGCAGGTAAGACGCCTCCTGCATTTCAGGAAGACGGTGTTGACACAAACTGGCGCCTCCTGCAGACCCCGTCCCCCTTCCTTTGCACACCCTCGCCCATCTCCCAGTTTTTCCCTTTGTGTAAAGACCCTGCGCCCTGCCCAGGAGCAGGACGGCTGTCTCTCAGACATGAGGCTGCTGCCTCCTCCGCTGTCCACAAATTAAACCACTTCCCTTTCCTCAAAGTCCGTTTCCTTTTACTGGCTGAGGGAAATGGAGGCCGGAGTTCGCTCACAGAAGGAGCAGATGCCCCCAAGGCCAGGTCATTTATCACCACCACTTCCCTCCTCCGCACCCCACCATCTCTAACGCCTGCGGGTGCCCCCTCTTGTGCCCACACCAGGGGGTGGCCCCTGGGGACTCCTACAGGACCTACGTCCCGCTGTGCAGGGAGCTGAGAGCTGCAGGCGGGTCCTCCTGCCCCACGACCCTCAGTGACCCGGGACGAGAAGTGTCTACGCAGCCTGGCCTGGCGCACAGTGTGGGAAGCTCCTCCCTGTGGTCAGCTCATTTTGACCGCCCCATCTTGACTCCATCGGGGCTTCCTCAGCCTGTGCCCCCAGATCCGCCACTCCCCGCGATGCTGCCACCGCTGCTGCTGCCCCTGCTGTGGGCAGGTGAGTGGGGGAGGGGAGGGGCCCGGGTGGGGGCTGCACTGACCCTCGTCTCCCCGCAGGGGCCCTGGCTCAGGAGGAGAGATTCTGGTTGCGCCTGCAGGAGGAGCGGGTGACGGTGCAGGAGGGCCAGTGCGTCCTCGTGCCCTGCAACGTCTCCTACCCCAAGGAGCACGGCCCAGCTTACGGCTACTGGTACAGGGACAAGGGAGAGTGTCAGGGTACACAGGGTGACCTGGTGGCCACAAACGACCCAAATGGAAAGGTGCATGAGACCCAGACCCCGCAGCGATTCCACCTACTGGGGGGCCCCTGGAACGACAGCTGCTCCCTGGACATCAGAGACACGCGGAGAGGGGACACGGGGACCTACTACTTCAGGGTGGAGAGAGGGGGTCATGTGAGACATAATTACTGTGATCAGCGGCTCTCTGTAAACGTGACAGGTAAGGGCCGGGTGCAGGAGGGACACACGGGAGGGTCCTGAGCGCCCGGCCGAGGATGGAGGGGCCCCATGTCTTCACCTCGTGAGGGACCCTAAGATCCGCGGGGAAAGGACCCTGGTGGGCGGGGACGGGTGGCCTGACACAGGCTGCCCCTGGGGACGCTCAGGTCCTGCTCCAGGCCGTGTCTGTCCCCCCAGCGCTGACCCACAGGCCGGACATCCACCTCCAGGGGCCCCTCCAGTCCGGCCGGCCCAGGAACATCACCTGTGCGGCGCCCTGGGCCTGTGAGAGGGAGACACCCCCCACCTTCTCCTGGACGGGGGTTGGCCTCGGCGCCACGAGCACCGACTCCCCGGTGCTCACCCTCAGCCCGGGGCCCCAGCACCACGGCTCCAACCTCACCTGCCGGGTGACCTTCCCCGCAGTGAACGTGAGCACAGAGACCACCGTCCGGCTCAGCGTGGGCTGTGAGTGTGGGGCCCAGATGCCCGGCCTGAGGGGTCCCCAGGCAGCACATGTAGGAAGGGAAGACACGGGGTCTGGGGTCTGGGCCCCGCAGATCCTGCCAGGAGGAGGGAAAGAGGCCCCTGGCTGTATCCTCCATGTCTCATGCTCCTGGGGGAAGGCCAGCTGACGGAGAACAATTCTGTCTGTCTGTCCAGATGCGCCCCAGAACCTGACCATCCAGGTGATCAGGGAAGAAGGTTCAGGTACGGAGTGAGGTTCCCTCTCTGGGATGTGGGGAAGTGGGGTTTGTCCCACCCTCCATTCAGAGCTGGGGTCTGACAACACACATGGGAGACAGGTCTTTGTCAGGAGGGGGTAGCAGAGGTGGGAACCCCCATGGGCTCTTCAGCTCATACATGGGCTCCCCTGTGCTGACTCTGTTCCCTGGGGTGTCCTATGCTCTGTCCCTTGTCTGATGATGTGCTTGTCCCTGGTTCCAGGCCTACATCATCCTCCCCAATTCTGCCCTCATGCTCCTTATGATCTGTCCTCCTCCTTAGCATCTCCCTCCTGCTATAACTTACTTTTTAAAATAATGACCATAAAATTGGCCTGAGTCAGCAGGGGCTGCAGAACACAATGCCACACAGGAGGTGATCAAACCTCACAGGGTGAACCCTAATAAAGTCCTGAAATCTCTCTCCAGGGCCTGAAGCACTGGGCAATGGCTCCTCTCTCCCGGTGCAGGAGGGCCAGTCCCTGCGCCTGGCCTGTGTGGTCCACAGCAGCCCTCCCACCAATCTGACGTGGGTCTGGGGGAGCCAGATGGTGAAGTCCTCTCCAAGCCTACACTCCGTGGGTGCGGTTGGCACATGGGAGCACCCCCAGACCCTGGAGCTGGAGCTGGCCAGGGTGCGCCTGGAGGACCACGGGAAACTCCTCTGCTGCGCTGAGAACCCCCTGGGCTCCCAGGAGGCCTCCCTGAGTCTCTCTGTGGAGAGTGAGTCAGCACCCCCGGGGCTTCTGCTGCCCAGAGAGGGGAGAGGCTGCTCTGATGTCCCCATCACCCCCACAACACCCCCCTCATCCCTCCCCTCAGTGCCCCCACCCCCCAGCTGCTGGGCCCCTCCTGCTCTGCTTTAGCCCCGTGGGACCCTCCCTGTGCTGGCGGCTGGGGGAGCAGCAGAAATGCCTTCACCCAGGTCATCTTCAGCCTCTCGGGGCTCTGGGCCAACAGCTCCCTGTGCCTCGGCGGGTCTGAGATGTGAGGCCGGGATGCTCTTGGGAACGGGGATACCTCTGTCCCCCTTCTCCCAGGTGGGCTCGTCCGGGGGAGAGCACAGGACTCTGCTTTCTGGGGACACAGAGGGAGGAGGCCTGCCTCGCAGCCACGGGACACTGTTCGGGGTCCTCCTCACCTCTGTGAGGGGCAAAGTCCAGAAGGGAAGTGGGCACTCACGGGTCGTGGAGTCCACTGGCCTAGGTGCCCGGCACCTGCTGAGGGAACTCGGGGTCACCCAGGTCCTCTGTTGCAGGGGCACCAGGAACCTGGATGTGGTTCATTCTGGGGGCCGTCGGGGGAGCAGGAGTCTCAGCCCTGCTTGGGTTCTGCCTCGGCATCCTCATGTGAGTCGGTGTCCCTTGAAGACCTTGAAGCCTGGGAGGGGGCTGGGGTGGTGGGAGGAGGGGACAGGAAGAGGCCAGAGCTCCCTGCCCAGGGCTGGCGCCCTGAGAGGTGAGTCAGGGGCTGTGATGCTGAAACGCCCCAGTGAGTCTGCCCCCTGGGGTCTCTGCCCAGAGCAGCCCCCACCCACCCCCACCTCCCAGTTGAGCACTGGCTGAAAGGCAGGTCTCCTCCACAGAGTGAGATGCTGCTGGAAGAAAGGGACCCAGGAGGCAGCAGGGAGCAGGCCAGGCCCCCAGGCCGCAAGGAGAACCCCCGGGGTGAGTGACTCAGGGTCTTCTGCAGGCTCAGGTCAGCCTGACCTCTGGGGCTGTGCCTGGGGCTCTGTCCAGGGCAAAAAGGGTTCCCTGCTCACACCCCGTTCCTCCCCTGGCCTCCCTGAGCTCTTGACCCAGAGACTGAGCCTCCCTCACCCCTTCCTGGGATCCCAAGTCCAGGTCAGGGCCCCTCAGGGCAAATCTTTTCCTTCCCATCCCCCTTCCCCACTGAGCCCTCTGAGCCCCCGGTTCTCTCAGGGTCCCTGGCTCCCCCCCACACACCACGCCAGCTCCCCTCCCCAAACAAGCTCTGGCAAGAAGCTCCCCAACAGCTGTCACTCAGCCCCAGCCCTGCCGCCCCCACATCCAGGTGGGGCAGAAATGCCCGGAGCCTCCTGCAGGGCTATCACTGTCCCGCGGGCACTTTAAAAAGTGGACACACAAGGTCAATTTTAATATAATAATTTATTTCACCCAGGTCCACAAATATCGTTCCCAACATTACATCTGTATTCAGTGTTCTAGTTGTGAACGAGGTGACTTTTTTTTTCCGTGTAAGTCTGTGAGAAACAGGCTCACGTCAGGCGTGCAGGCTCCATTCTGATGCCCACATCTCCTGTCCTCGCTGGCTGCACGGGTCTAGGCACTGACCACAGGTCCACATTCCTGTTCCTTCTCCTGTGATTAGTCGGCCACCCAGGCCACTGCGCTGCCCTCACACCCCAACTTGCAATTAGAGAAGCTTGTGTGGGGATCAGGGGATGCCCCCCCTTGGCCTGCAGGCGCCCCAGGTCTGGTCTGTGTGCTGGGGAGCATGGGGCACTCCTGTGTCTGCATGTCTTAAAATGGGGCGATGATGACATCACCCAGGCAGGGGTGGGGGTTCAGGAGACTAGTGATAAGAACAAGCCATTATGATGAGAATCTGTTAGAGGTGAGAATGGGTGAGTGTGTGAGTGAGTGTGAGTGTGTATGAGTGTGTGAAGGACCCTCAGGAGTGGGTGTGACTGGACAAGGAAACAGATACCGCTGAGCCCAGGTCCCTTCTCCAGACCCTGAGGCTGACCCTGAGCCTTATCTCGTCCCTCTCAGGGGCACCAGGGTGGATCCTGGGCTGACAGCCCCCCACGCCCCCAGGGCCCAGCGGAGGCCCCCTCAGAGGAGGAGCAGGAGCTGCATTACGCCAACCTCGCATTCCTCAAGGCAAGCACCAGGGCCTTTCTGGTCCAGGAGACCCCTGAGTACGCCGAGGTCACCGTCCGACATGGAGCCGCCCTCTCCTGACACCTTCCCGACGCTGGAGCCCCAAAAAGGCCTCTCTGAGGACAGCGGGTCCTGCGCTTCCTGCAGAGCTGCCGCCTCAGGGAGGTGAGAAAGGCGAGCTCGGGGCTCCTGGGACAGATGGAGCCGGAGCTCCCGGGTCACGCCCAGCCCAGCCGCTTAGACACGCGTCCCCGTCACTCTCCGGCCTCAGCTCCCTCCGCTGTGAAGTGGGCGCATGTGCACAAGGCGGGAAATGCACCCCGAGTTGCCGACTGGGCAGCTCCCCCCTCTCCTCTGCGGCCCTTCTGTTGGCTGTTTTAGGAGCGTGTGCGAGTTCACAGTGTGACTCTGTTTCTCAGTGTAACGCTCTGGGGAGACCAGTTTCCTCATCCAGCTAAACCTGCACATAAACCCCGGGCTGGGCTCTGAGACCTCCCCAGTGTCTAAAAGGACAGAAGTAGGGGTGAGATCGCCAGTGTCGCTAAGTGAGATGAGTCCCCCCAGACAGGCCAGCACCCCGTGAGCTGCAACAGGAGGCCCTGGAGGAACCAGCCCTTAGAGCCGGGGCCAGACCGGACCCGGGAGGGGACAGGAAGCTGCTCGTGGAGGTTCAGCCTTTCAGTTTTGCAAAATGAAAACCTTCTGGAATCTGGTGGGTGACCGTGGGCCTCTGGTTACCCCCGAAGCACATACTGGAAAATGCCGAGGTGGTAAATGTAATTTTTCCCCTTAATTAAGCAAAGTAATAGATGGGGGTGACCAGGAATGGGGCTGGGGCCCCTCAGGGGAGCTCATAGTCAAAGGCTAGAGAACCAGGTTAGGCCACAGCAGCCCCCCATCCCCACCCCATCTCTGGCTGCTCCTCCCACAGACCACTGAGTAGGCCACTTCCTGAATCGGGGAGTCAGTTTCTTCTCCCATCCCCCTTTCTCCTGGCCCACTTCTAGGAGTCACCAAGTCCCTCACCTCCCCCTTCTCTCCACCCCTAGTTTAGACCCTCCCCCCCACTCCTGACCTTTCAAACAGCACCCCCCAGGCTCAGGGCCTCAGGCTCACTTCTTCCAGCCTATCCTCCCCTTCAGCTGCACAGGGAGAGGTCGCAAATGCTCACCTCCCACCTGCTAAGCATCCTTCCACGCCTGCCCCTGCAGTGCAGCTGCATTGTCAGCTCCAGTGAGCCTTATTCCAGAATGTTCACAATCTCACCACCATCCACCTCCCCCTCCCCCCCAACCCCCACCCCCCCCAGCCCCCCGCCTCTGGGCCACCACCTCTCACACACCTCGGCGGCACCCCAGCCCATTCCCGAGGATCTCACCCTCCTTCCCGCCTCTCCATTCCTCCCCCGTGTGGTTCCACCCACGGCAATGTCCTCTCTCCATGTTTGCCTCACAAGGTTGTCCTTGGAGCCCCAGCTCAGGCGGCTCCTGCTCAGGCCTGTGCACTCCCTGCCTCACCCCTGCTGCGCTTCTCTAAGGGCTGGACAGGACCGTGACTGTTAATCTCCCTGCTGCTGCTAACTGACCTTCTAGAGCAAAATGATTCTTTGGGGGGCGCTAAGATATGCCAGGTGTCAGAGAGGTGCAGCGAGACCTCAGACTGCGAGCCCCGGGACTAGGGCCTCCTTCTGCCCTCACAGACCAGCCAACAGAATGACCACCGGGCTCCAGTTCTTCTTTTCAAGTCGCCATAAACACCAGGCCTTCGCTCAAAACAGTAGTTTCAAAGCAGTAATGGACATTTCAGTTCCTTTGCATCGTGTTCATGGAGGGACCCTTGGGAACACCCTCATTTTCTCTCCATTCTTTGTTCTCCAAACTCTTACTGCAAGCCAGCCACAAAGGGGGATGTCCAGTGTCAAAGGAACGAAATTCACACGGTGGGAGGTGGGGAGGAGACAGAAACGTGTAACCTCGTAAAACACAGTGTGGTGCGGCTCTGTATCGCTCCAGGACTAGAGCTGTGACTCTGCCCTGGGGTGGGGAGGGAGTTAGGAAAGGCTTTTCAGGGGAAGCTCCCATTGGGGTGCACACCGTGGAGAAAGCAGGAGTTGAACAAGCAAAGAAGAGAAGCATCCCAGATAGAGGTGGCGACAGGCACAAAGCAAGGAGCTGGAAGAAGTCTGGTGTTACCTCATACGCCTGGGCCGTGGCAGCAGGTGTCTCGGCCAAGGAGACAAGTGCGGGTCATGCACCAGTAGAACTCGGGCTGGGGTCTGCTCTCCCAGGGCCCCGTAGCCAGGCTGGGGGACTTGATTCTTCAACTTGCCACATCAAAAATAAATTTGGGGGCCTCCCCGGTGGTGCAAGGGGTTAAGATGCAGCACTATGAAGCTATCTGCAGCCACTGCGGCACGAGTTCGATCCCCGGCCAGGGAGCTACCCACAGGGCGCAGCAGACCTCTTCTAGCTCCAGGCTGCTGCCCTCAGCAGTGTTTTCATTGGATCCACCGGTTCTGTTACCCACTCTGTCTCTGGCGAATCCTCTCACCGACCCCCCTGTAGGGTAAAGAAAATATCAGGCTTTTCTGCCCTTCCGCCATCAGGATAGATGATGGATCCTTGTCCTGAATGCATGCCTGATGGCGGGCACCTGGAATAGGGTGTGGGCATAGGTAGATGGGATTCAGCTGAGTTAAGACTGTGCTTTTAAGGGCGGCATCACGGGGGGACGCCAGCAGCCCCAGCCAGCAGCAGCAGAACCTGAAGGAGAAGCCGAAGCAGAAGCAGAGAACGCCAGAGAGCTCAGATAGAGTAAAGACTTGCTGGGGGGCTGGGAGGCTGGCAGGCCTCCCAGCCCCCCAGCCAGCACCCCTGCCTGCCATATGCCTGGTGAACCCCAATAAAAGACCTGCAAAACCACTGAGGACTCTGACTCCTCCTTTACCCGGTCTGCATGATCCCAGAAAACCTGCACTGTGCCCGGTCCGGCCCTTACACCCCCCAACACACACCCCTCTGGCCTGCACCCCAGTGCTTGTGTGCATAAATAAGTAAATCTTTAAGAAATTTTTGAAAAAAAATTTTTTCAAACAAACCACCTAACTTTAGACATTAAAGAAGAACAAAATAAACCAAAGGCGACAGAAGGAAGGAAATAATAAAGATAAAAATGGAGATAAACAAAAGCCAACAGAAAAGCAAAAAGCAAATTCAACAAGAACACAAGTTGGCGCGTGGAAGGGAACGCTCGCTACTGATTGGTTGAACCTCGCCAGCTCACCCCGCCCTCCCGCGCGCAAAGGGAGGCGGAACATGCGCTGTCCGCTTCCAATTGGCTCCCCTGGCTGTGCATCAGCTCCAGCTGCCTCATTGATTGGCTGTAACAAGGCGTGTGTGCAGCCACGGATTGGTTGCCGCCAACACGCATCTCGCGAGGCGGCTGAGGAGACCAGGTGATTCCCCCTGTGTGGCACGCCTGCGGCCATCGCGCATCCTCCCCCATCGCCGCTGGCCGAGGCTGGCTGGCCCTCTCGTGGCCACGCCTGGCCTGTGGGCCTGCTTGGCCATCCCTGGGTGTGGGTCTTGGGCCGGAACCGCCTCAACGGGGCTTCCATGCCTGGGGTTTCTCTGTCAGTCAGCGTGGCCTCGGGCGGGTAGGCCACGTCACTGCCGCGCCGGCGCCGCTCCCGCCTGGGCGCCCCGGGAGCCCCGTGGTCGCCCAAGCCGGTCTGGGTCAGTCAGCAGGCCCGGCCTCCTCAGGGCCAGTCGGCCCCCGGTGGGCCACAGTCGGCCCCCTGGTCAAGGTGACGGGCAGCGCGGGTCACCCGCTTACCGAGAAGGCGCCCGAGTGGCCTGGTGATGGATGGTCAGGTCGGGCCCTCCGACGTCACGGGCCTCGTAGTGCTTGGGCCATTCGAGCAGGTAATCTCCCCTTTAGTCCATTCATGGGGATCCCCCAGAAGGCACCCGTCAGGGGACAGCCTGCCCAGGCTTGTGAGCCAGCTGGTGGGTCTGACTGTCAGGCCTCAGTTTCCCTAGAAGCCAGCCTCCCGGCCTGCCGCGCTGGTCAGTCACCCAAAGGGCCCAGCCCCTGGCGAGTCTGGGGGCGCCGGGCACCGCCGGCTGCTGAGGACGGACGCAGAGGGTGCGCTGGGGCCGGGAGGCGCCCGAGCCCTTGGAACCAGCCTCCAAGGTAATGCTGAGAGAAGTGAGGAGCCTAGAAAATTTTGGGAAGAAGAATAAAAAGGGGGGTGCACGAGAAGGCACCCAGCTGACTGAAGCCTGGCAGGCAAGAGCAAGAAGTGAGGATTTGGGGGCCTCCCCGGTGGCGCAGCGGTTGAGCGCTCTGTTGTGAAGCTGCCCGCCCCTCTGCAGCGCCAGTTCCATCCCCGGCTGCTCCCCAGCCACCGGAGGAGGGGCCCACATGGCGCGCAGACCTCTCCTGCCGCCCGCTGCTCCCCTCAGCAGTGTACTTCGGTCCTTCTGCCTGCTCTGCTCCCCGCTCTGGCTCTGGTGAATTCTCTCACCCTCCCGCGCTTCTGACTGTACCCAGTACTTATATAAATAAATAAAAAGAAAAATAAATCTTAAAAAAAAAAAGTTAAAAAAAATTAACTGAAAGTTTGAACTTTTTGTGAAATATACATGTTTTAATAGGTTGTCTTACCAAGACTGACTAGCAAAAGTACACATTTAGTAGGCCCAACAGCCTGTTGATATGTCACGTTCAACTCTGGTACCACTAGTTGCAATCCCTGAATCATCTTCCAGAAAGGGGAGACAAACATTGGGTCTTCTGTCTTCCGGGCCTCTTCTAAGAAGAATCTAGAACCCTTCTGAAAGGAGGGAAGAAAGAGGAGAAGGGAGAAAGAAGCAGGTTGTATGTTCCATCAGGTCATAGCTGTGAGCTCACTGCTGTGCAGTTGCCAACTATTTCCCTATGTATTTCACCAACCCTGGGGGGTGGGAGAGCTGATTTATTCCCATCTTTTATTCAGGAGGATGGATTCTCCGGGCTTACGCTGCAGTTTTTAAGAGAAGATGGTGTCAAGGAGAGGACACTGCTGAGATTCAGGTTGAGTCTAGAATTTGTCAGCCTTGGGTCGATCGCCAGACTTGTCTGTGCTTTAGTTGATTGGATTCTTCCTTTTTCTTCACCAAGGTGAAGGTGTCAAGACTTTCCATGCGCCGTCTTCTGTGAGGTGGTGGCGATGAGATGTGTCTCACAGCATGGTTGAGAGGATTAGGACAACATCTCTCAAGCTCTAGAGTTGTAAATGGCAACTGTAGTCTCCCATGAGATGGTAAGTGAAAAAGGAGGTGCCTGTATGTAGCTCTATGGCTCTGACTGATGGCTCGTGACCAGGGGTTGAAAATAACCAGCCCATCAACTGACAAATGGATCAACAAAAGGTGGTATATCCATACAGTGGAGTATTAGTCGGCAATAAAAATGATAGGGATACTTATTCAGGATGAATGCGCCTTGAAAACATGCCAAGTCAAAGAAGCAGACAGGGAAGACCACATAATGTATCATGTCCTTTCCATTAAGTGTCCAGAATGGGCAAATACAGAGTTACCTAGAGTATCAGTAGCTTGGTGGTGGCCTAAGACTGGGGAATGGGTGTTGTAGGGCTTAGTAATTGTTAGTGGACATTTGGTGTATCTAGGAGTGACGAGAATATTCTGGAATTAGATCATGGCGATGGTTGCACACCTTTACAAATATGCTAAAAATCGAAGCGTACACTCGCAAAGGTGAGTGTTACCGAACATCAATTAGTGTTCCATTTTAAAGGCTCCAGGTGGGGTGGTTTGGTGAGTTCTAGCACCAAAGTGGGGCGGGGGCTCCTCGAGCCTCCGGGGATGACTGTTGTCCTCTCTCCCAGCGGGTTATTTCCTCACGTGCATTGTAACTGTGGCGAGCAGACTTGTATGCGTCAGAGCTGCATCTGTGAGAATCTTGTGCAGCAGAGACTTCTGGGGTTTGCTTCTGTCAGAGCAGCAAACCCTGTGAGGGAGGCTGGAGTGGTCAGGAGGGAGGATGAGAGCTGGCAGACCGGAAATGGCGGAGAAGATGGGAAGTGGGCTGGAACAGGCCAGGGGTGGGTTGGGGTCTGGGCGCTGAAAGCCAGTGTTTCGTCTCCTTGGTGATTGGTGCCTCGCAAACGGGGTACTAGGGCCTTTTGAGGGTCGAATCCTTGGCTTTTTGTTCCCCGCCAACGGCAGCTGGTTCGCCCATCACTTTCGCGCTCAGTGCTGGGCTCTAAGCGGCTGGTCAGCCTGTGTCGCCCGGGCCAGCAGGGGTCGGGGTGGGGGAAGAGGAGCCCCACTCGCACCTTGCCCGGGCTCCTGTGCACCAAGCCAGGTCCCGATTGGGCCCGGGAGACTCGCGCATGCTCCTGGCGTGCCCGTGGCAGGGGCCTCGCCCGGCAGGTACCATGTCAGGTACCACGTGAGGCCCATGCCCGTCGGGGTGTGGGCAATGCTGCCTGCCCTGGGCGGAGGAGCTGCTGGAGCCTCCCTTTGCCTCAGCGGCAAGTGCCACCTCATCTGGTGTGGGCTGGGCTGTGCCTTCGGTCCCTCAGGCTGGGCACGGGGCTCACTTCGGCCCTCTAGGAAGTAGGTTCTGTACCTGGGGCTCCGTAAGAATTAAATCAGCCAGTGTCACCCGATGTGCTCGACACAAATCAAGGAGAACTTTCCTGAGTCAAGGAAGTAGCCAGGTGCTGGGGGATAGACCTGCAGGGCAAGAGCCGGCTGGAACCAGATCTGGCACGCCAGCCCAAGAGGTGACCTCGGTGAAGGAAGTAATCATTTGTAGGTGACAAGTGGAGGTGGCTGTGGCGACAGCCATGACCGTGCCAGACCCCGGGGAAAGGGAATAAAACTCGGAGGAGAGACCCAAATTTGACACCCTGGGCGATATAGTCTCACCTGACAGGTGAGAGAAATGGGAGGGGTGGGCAGCCGGAGGGGTCTGGCCTTTGCCTAAAGTTATCCGGTGACTTCAGGCAGAGCCTGGCTGGACCACCCCAGAATTCCCAAAATTTGCTTTGAGGTTGTAAATGTGTCACTATCATCACTGAAAGAATTAGATGCTGAAAATTGCTAACTAAAAGTTTTATTCCCAAAATTAACTAAAAAAAAAAAAAACCACAGCCACGTAATCTAATGAAAGAACAAGGCAAATCAACTCTCCCCTCTCAGTAATTGAGCAAGTAAATGAAAAAGTGGGGTTGCGTGTAGAATACGATCAACCAAATTGCCTTAAGTGAAATTTATCGGAGATTCCATCCAACGGGCACTTACCAAAAGATCATATTCTGGGCCATAAAACAAATCCCAACAAATTTTAAAGTGTTGAAATGTAATGTTCTTGAAGCACAGTGGAATTAAATTAGAAATTAATAGAGAGCTATTCATCATCAGTATTTGTGCTTGTGCATTTTTTTTTCCAGTGACGGGTAGACGAGGTCTGCTACTGATGAGGGACCACCTCCCGGGGCTCGCTGGTGGTGGTGGGGGCTTCTCTGGCGGGTTCTCTGGGGGCTGTGAAGAAGGTGCCCCGGGCAGGTGGCCTGAGGGTTGCTCCACTTATCGCCTCCACAGAGGGAGTAGGAGCTGGAGCAGAGGGAGGGTTCTGTGGCGCCAAAATCAGAAAAGCAGAATTCGCAGCAGCCTCCAGCTCAGGCTAGGTATTCTAGGCTGACGAATCTCCCACAATATTTGCTTAATAATCATCAAGCGAAGTCCCAGGTTTGTGTGTTGGTGCGGCCTGGCCCCCGGGTGTCGGATGTCAGACAACAGGCTGTCCGCTCCAGCACCATGGCGACCGGGCGCCCTGGTCTCCACTCAGACAACCGGCCAGACTGTCGTCGCTTCCCAAGACTTGGAGTCATTTCTGACATCTCTGGAGTCTCACAAGACCACTTTGCTGAAATTGTTCCTCCAAGGGCGGATTCGTATTAGCAGAGAACAGAGCAGTCAGGAGCAGCCATGAATATTCATAGAAGCCGCACATGGAGAGAGGAACATAAATTACATCGAAACATTCTCTGTCTTGCACAATGTCAAATCAGATGCCTTGCACCCCTTTATAACACAAGACAGTAGCTTTTGATTTATAGCTGTGGGGGGTGACCGTCTTCAGTCCTTTCTGAGACTTGTTTCCTTTATTATGAAAACTTATTTTGTTTTTCTGTTTTGTTTTTGAAATCAGGCTCTGGAATGTCATTCACTAGCATCGTATGCCAAAAACCAGACCCTGGGAGCGCAGTCCTGAAGCAAACCCCGAAGGATGGAGCTGGAAGGACTTTTATTTGCTGAGGGTAACTTAGGGTACTTTCATACCTGGCCTGGGCGCTGGGTCTTGGTCCCTCCCATGTGAACGGAGGCGTGGCTAGAGGGGTGCTGGGGAGCCTAAGAAAGGAGGATTCCTTGTGGTTACAGATGCCCAGAAGGGGACCTGGTAGAAGTTACATTCGAGTAACCTGAGAGGTGCGGCCTGCTAGTTTCTTTGGGAGATGGGCAGTGGCAGGAGGGGACCCCCCAACACACAGGCGAGGGAGGGCGAGTGGGATGTGTGCTGGCACCTCCGCCCGGGCTGGGAAGGGGGTGCTGGAGGGGTGGGGCGCAGCCCAAGGACACAGCTCGAATTTCATAGCCTCAGGGAAACCCTTCACCTCCCGGATTCCAGGTGAGACTTGGGTGTCTCCAGGCTCAGGGGAGGGCTGTCAGGGCCACGTGACCGTTCCCTGGCCTCGCTGCCCTCCGGCCTCTGGGTAAGTGCCAGGCCCAGCGCCCATGGGCCCACTGTCCACCGCGCCACCCCCACCTGCCCTGCGCCTCGGCCCTCCTGGCTGTCCCGCCCCATCCGTGTTGAGGGTTCTGAATATTCCGTCCACTTGCCATCGCCAGTGTGGGCAGGCTGCCGGGAGAGCCTCCCCTCTGTTCAGTTAAGGTGGCTCTGGTCTGCTCTGCACAGTGTTTGGGCCCACGGGCTGTTCGGGCGCTGCGGTATCCTCCTCAGCCTCTGTCCGGCGTCCACAGGCCATGCGGGGTCTCAGGCTAGGCGCTCCTGGGTGGGAGGACCCCGACATGAGAATCTAGGGGGCAGGGGAGGTCATGGCTCGGCCGTAGGGGGACGAACACGGCTCCACCGTGTGGGCTGGATCCGGCGCGAGTGGCTTTCCCGGGAGTTGGTCTGTTCCAACGCACCGCCCGCCACCGCCTGGCCTCTGTGGCCCTCTCCGCCGGCCCATGTTGCTCAGGCCGAGAAGGGGCTCGTCCTTTGGTGAGGGGGGGGTCCCAGAGAAGCCTCTGTGAGCCCGCCCGACGGCCTGTGCAGGAGTGGAGGCGTCTGGAGGACCTGGCCTGGGCCACCTGCCCCACAATGGCCCCATTACCCGGAAGGGGCACTGGCTGCAGGACCTGAGGAGGGGGGCAGCCGGCTGTGCCCACGTGCCCTGGAGACTCCTGAGGGGTGCACGGTGGGGGAGGGTGGGTCAGGGTCAGACCCTGGACAGAAGGGTCTGGACAGAAGCCGGAGAGCATGGGTCTTCCTGAGCCTCGGATAGCGGAAGGGGCTCTGGGGTCAGAGGGCAAGGTTCTTGACAGGAAGTGCAGGCATGGGCCTCGGCCCCTGAGAACCCCAAGAGGGTCAGCTTTCACTGGAGGGGGCCCCCGGAGTGACGTCCAGGGGAGGGCTGAGAGGGAGGCTGGTGGGCGGGAGGGCTGGAGGAGGGCAGGAAAGGGTGCAGGTGGGGGCCGGGTTGAGGAGGAGCGGGAGGCCTCAGCCCTAACCCCGCCCCAGACAGCCACTGTGGTACCCCGCTGTGCCCGCCCGGAGCCGGGTCTGAGGAGGCAGAACAGAGTTGGGGTGTCTGATGACTGACTATACCCCTTGGGCATGTCGCCAGCCTCTGTGACCCGTCATCTGAACTGGGGCGTTGGGGGGGCTACTGCCTCTTGACTATGGTGAATAATGCTGCAGTGGACTTAGGGAGCAGACGTCTTTCTAAGTCAGTATTCCCACCTTCTCCCGGGAAATGCCCAGAAGCGGGGTCACTGGGGAGTTTCTCATTTTATTTTTATTATTTTTTGGAAAAGATTTATTTATGCATTCAAGAGCTGGGGTACAGGCCAGAGATGGGGGTGGTGGTGGTGAGAGGACTCACCAGAGACAGAGCGGGGAGCAAAACAGTCAGATTGACTGAAAGCCACCGCTGAGGGGAGTAGCGGGGAGACAGGACAGGTCCGCTACGCCATGTGGGTTGCTCCCTGGCCAGCCGGGGATCGAACGCGTGCTGCAGAGGCTGCAGACGCTTCATAGTGTGGTGCTTAACCCCTTGCGCCACCAGGGAGGCCAGGAGTTCTATTTTTATTTGTTGGTGGAGGGACCCCTCGCTGAAACCGGTCTCCTGACCCTGGTTTGGGTTCCGTGCCTCAGAATGAAGGCGCTTGCTTGGGGGGAGGAGAGCCAGGTTTCAGGACTGGAGGCCCTGATGGCCGAGAAACCAAAACCGCCAGGGAACAGAGCACCTGAGGGCTCTGAAGCCACTGCCCAGGTCCCGGGTTGCAGGCCAGTCCCTGGGCCAGGCTGCGCCAGGGTTGCTGCCCCCGCGGGACCAGCAGGGGTCGCTGGTGACAAAGAAGCTAGGGCCTGACCTGGCTGCTGATGGGGTGCGAGGGAGTGGGGGTCGCCCAGCAGGTCAGAACTGGGAGCCAGCTGGGTTGCTGAGCACCTGGTTCTTCGCGGAGGCGGCCGGCGCTGTGGACATGCCTGCCCAGCCGGGACTCTGCAGGGAAGGCTGTGGCCAGAGGCACTGCGCCCCTGTCAGGAGAGGATGGCTTTTTCCTCAGGTCTGTGCCACAACAAAAGCACTGGGGCCAAGACGCCAGATGGTCTGAGGTCAAAGGTCAAGGTGTCAGCAGAGTTGGGTTCCTTGAGGCTGCTGCCTGGCTTGTGGGTGCTGGGGTCTCTCTAGCGTCCTCACAGGGTCGCCCTCTGCGTGTCTGTGTGTGTCCTGGTCGCCTCTTTGTCTTTTTTTTTTGTTGTTGTTAAAGACTTTAAAAAAGATTTTATGCATTTGTTTATGCATACAAGAACTGGGGTACAGGCCAGAGCTGGGGGGGGGTGAGAGGATTCACCAGAGACAGAGTGGGGAGAACAGGGAGATCTGCTGAAATCCACTGCTGAGGGAGCAGCGGAGAGACAGGAGAGGTCTGCTGCGCCCTGTGGGTCAGCTCCCTGCAGGGTGTGCCGCAGCGGCTGCGGACAGCTTCATAGTCCTGAGACTTGACCTCTGCGCCATCAGGGAGGCCTTTGATCGCCTGTTCTTTTTTTTTTTTTTAAGAGATTTATTTATTTATTCATACAAGCACTGGGTACAGTCAGAAGCGCGGGAGGTGAGAACGAATTCACCAGAGCCAGAGCGGGGAGCAGAGCAGGCAGAAGGACCGAAGGACACTGCTGAGGGGAGCAGCGGGCGGCAGGAGAGGTCTGCGTGCCATGTGGGACCCTCACCGGTGGCCGGGGATCGAACTGGCGCTGCAGAGGCTGCAGGCAGCTTCGCAACCCAGCGCTCAACTGCTGCGCCACCAGGAGGGCCCTGATCGCCGGTTCTTATAAGGAGCCCGTCCCATTGCGTTGGAGCCACCCTGACGAGTCACTTCTGCCCGATTACCTGTGAGAAGGCCCGCTTGCCAGATACAGTCATGTTCCGGAGGTCCTGCAGATAAGAGCTCAGCACATGAATTTGGGGTACACAGTCTAGCCCATAACAGCTTAGAGGAGCGACTTGGAGGCCTTGTTGGGGGGAGACCCGAGGCGAGACAGAGGACAGCCAGGTATGATTCTCGCAGAGTCTGGGGTGCTTGAGAGGAGGCTGCAGACACACCAGCCCCGGGTGGGCCACTCAGACCCGCACACGGGAGCCACCACTCTCTCTGGGACCCCACAACCTCCACCCATTCACTCAGCAGACCCCCCCCAAGACCTCCCGTTGGTCCAAGCAGGGACTCACCGGCTCACTGCCCTCTGGGCAGCTGGCCGGGCAGCAGGCTGACCCCCCAGAGCACAGAGGGAAGCAGCACGGAGGTGGACA